ATAATAATAATAATAATAATAATAATTAGTGAGAAACCGTGCGATGGTCTTTTTATATTTTATTTGTTATTTATTAATTTTTGAATATTTTCCTTTTTTATTTTTTCGTGAAATTTATTATATTTAATTTGTGTAGGAAAAAAATTATTTAACTATTAATTTTTATTTAGTACCATTATTACTATAAAAATATATATCATATTTTCTTTAAATATTTATCAAATAAATATAAATCATAAATAAAATAGAAAAAATTAGGCGAATATAAAAAATTATTATATAATCAATATAAAATTTTAATTCAAAACTTATAAAATTTTATAAATAAATTCAAAATTAATTTTATTCAAAGCTAAACTCAAATTATAATTCATTTATTAAAGAAAAAAAAATCTAAAAAATAAAATAAAAATAAATTTAAGAAATAAGAAAAAAAAATTTGTTATGAGATTCAAAATATACCTTTATATTTAACAATTTGTTCATATTTGAAATAATTGTTGTTTTTTAGTTGTAAAAATTTTAAATTTAATCAAATAAATTTGTACAAATTACTCAAAATTCATATATGTTTTTTTGAATATATAAATATATATCATACTATATAAGTATTTTTTAAACTAAAATAAATAATTTAATTGAAAATTAAAGAAAGAAATATTCTATACTTTATACAATATCATAAAATTTATATCAAATTTTTATTTTTATAAATTTGGTTAGTTATAGTTTTATTAATTATGAATATTGTAATAAAAATATGTATAAAATTCATTCAAACCCCATAGTTATATTATAATAAATATATATATTCAAATAAATTTAAATCATAAATAAAATAAGAAAAAAATAATTAGGGGAATATATAAATTTTATTCGTATCGTTGATATATTTAGATAAGTCAGTTGAATAATTAAATTTTATTTGATATATAAGGTATGTGATATGTAAAAATAAAGTTTGAATATGACTTTATTATAAATATTATTAGTATTGAGTTGTGTTAATTACGAATGTAATTATTATTAATTATATGTTTAAATAAGAATTTAAAATTATTAAATCAATTTTAAAAATGGTAAATTTTTTCAAAAAGTTAAAAAATTATTAATTATATATTTAAATTAGAAGTAATAAAATATTAAATTAATATATAGATAATAATATTTACATTATTGTATTTAATTTTTGTAAATTTTCTTTACTAATTAAATTTTTATATATACTTTTAATTATTCTTTTTTGTTCAATTTTTAAATAGAATTCGTACTTTTAAGAAAAAATAAAATGAAAAATGAAAAATAAAAAATAAATAATATGCGCATCTTATATAAAGTGGAATATTAAAATATAAAATTATTAAGTATATATTATAAAAGTAATACGAACAATCAAACATCAACAAATACACACAAACATAAGATACAAAATATATTATAAACTTTGAATTAATAAAATATATTTTTCATACAACAGAAAATAATAATAATAATAATAATAATAACATTCGAAATACATTTGTCTTTCGGATAAGCATATTACCCGAGGCAAATTCAAATTTTTATAAGATTTATATAAATTATATTTCTAAATAATCAAAAATAATTATTGAAATATTCGATAATTTACATTGGGTCGATAATAAAACTTCGACTTATAAAATGAATACATTATAATAATACTTATAGTTTATTACGTAACGATACAAAAAAATTCATTTTTATATTAGATGACACTCTAATATTTCGAAACTCCGATGAACTAAACCGAGAAAAAAAGAGTTGTGTCGAAAGGCTTAAACACGAAGGAGAGTCGTGTTATCGTAAAAAATCTCACCATAAAAAATATTAAATTAATATTAAAATCATTAAAAAATAAAAATAAAAAAAATGAGAAAAAAGCTTTGGAATTGCGGGATCCACCGAGTTCAAATTATAATAAATAATAAATTACATAATGAATATATTAAATTATGTTTATAATACATAGATAATAATAATAATAATAATAATAATAATAATAATAAATTTTGAATTTTAATAAATATAGTTATTAGCTATAATTTCATTAATCATACCAATAATATCTATATAATATTAATGGTAACCTATTAATTATATTAATTAATATAATTATTTTTATTAAAAAATAGAAAAATAAGAAAAAAATTTTTGATGAAATAAACCCACACCGACCTCAAATATATAATATATAGATAATAATAACGACACTATTCCCCTAATATGTAATTATATTATAAACCCTATAGAACTTTCGTCAATGTACAATTCCTATAATTTTTTTTTTATAGAAATATTATTGCTGGCCGAATTCTTTTCGACAGTTTAGCGAATTGAGTCAATCCAAAATTAGAAGGCAATAAAATTGAAAAGAAGAATTAATCACATTAAACCACTCATTAGTAAAGACAAGTCTTTAAAATCAAAATAATTTGGGGTTTGGCATGGGCCAAGAGATTATGTCTGTTGGGCTGGCTAAACCATCGAGCCTTAATTGTTTTTCATCAATTCAAACTTCGTTTATATATATATAGCCTCGTCGATCCGAGATATATCGAATTGAGGGTATCAAATATTTTCTCTGTCCAACTAAAAAATATGTATTTTCTATTATAATAATAAGTATATTAATATCAAAATATAATTTTTATATAAATTATAAATACATCAACATATATAATTAATTTATACATAAAGTATAAAACACAAAATTGTCAAATCATATTAGACGATTAATAAAATATTACTTATTTATTAATCTAGTGCAAGATCTCAAATAACCCTTTTGCATTAAGATGGAGGAAATATATTATTCCTTCCATCCCAAATAATGTTTCATTTAGCTTAGGGAGTTTTAGTATTGTGTAATTAGTATGTAATTTAAAAAATATATTAATAAAAATAATTATAATTTAATAAAATTAATTATAAATTAAGATGACTAAATAGTTTAATTAAATTAAAAAATTATGAATTATGAATTTTAAAATGTGATTAAAGTGTAATTATATTTCTAAAGAAGAAAATAATAAATTTATGTGGGACAAAATAAAAATAATGGACAAATTATAAAATATCATATAAAACTACATTATTTATACAAAACCTAAATACATCTATAATATCCAAAATTACTTGGATGGTCATAAGCATCCATCATCAATCTCATTTAATTCTGGACTAATATCACAATACTTTTAATTTTTACATGAATTACTAATATATTATTACACATATAATTAATTTACATAAAAAATTGAAGGATAAAATATCAAAATTTCTTAAACATTCCATAAAATATTCAAATCAAAACCTAAAAAAATTAAAATAAATAAATAAATAAATAAATAAAATAGAATCATTGGAAACCGTGCTAATGTTGGCTTTGATTTTAAATCAAACCAAAAAACAGCCCAAGTCCTCCTTTTCTATTTCTGATTGATAAGGGGTAAGCCCAGAATACATGGGCCAAAGTAATTTATTTTCAATACAAGTAAATAATTGCTTATAATTACTAATACAATTCCACACATTCACAAATATTTAAATATATATAGATTTATAATGAAGGTATATATTCTTTGATATGGTTTTTTAGTCTTTCTTAATTCCATTGCTTGCATAAGAATAATAAAAAGTTTATTATTAATTATTTTCATAAACTTTATTAAGTTAAACCCCTTTTTTACTCACAAATGAAAACCACTATTTTATATTTTATATTTTTTATTTTTTTTTTCAAAAAAAAAAAAAAACACTCATGATTGACACAAAGAATGATGGCTCGCCTTACTTTCTAAAAAAATTATTTAAAGCCAAATGGCATAATGAAAATTTTTTCTGAGTAATCTAATCATGATGAGATGATAGAAGAGAATATGGAATTCAAGAATTTCTTATTTATCATGTAAAGAGTGGATTAGTTAGTTGATTAATGTATATAAGAAAATTAAAAATGAGTAGTCAGTAGATACGTGCCTTGACATGACAATTTTTTTTTGTAAGATACATTTGTATTTAAAATTATGTTAATCTAAGCACTATTAAATTAAAAACATTCACATTAATTATTTGTTTGATTACTAATCTGTGTTGTGTTGTGCTCACTATTCACAAACGAGTTAAGTTAAACCAGAAGCAGCATCTTTAAGTGCCTCTGTGCTTATCATATGCATACACATATATATATATATAAGTAGAGAGAGAGAGAGAGAGAGAGAGAGAGAGAGAGAGAGAGAGAGAGAGGAGAATAGGCAAGAGTTCTTGCAAGATGCAAAACCAAGGGAATCAACCTCCTCCAGGTCTCTCTCTAAATTAAAGTGGCCTGATATGATTCTTGATCAGCCATGATTATGAGATTTGATTTGCAGGTTATCCAGCTGATGAGATTGACAACACTCCAGATGGAAAGAAGAAGAAGAAGAAGATGATCAATTGCTGGCCAGCAAATAAGCCCAAGGGGGAAAGGGGTTTTCTTGAAGGATGGTAATCTTCTAGGGTTTCCTCTCTCTCTCTCTCTCTCTACATAAATACAGATGAACATACTCAAAACAGTTAAAATAAATACTATCTTATTGCAACTGATATAAAAGTGGCTTTTACTTACAGATATTTCCTTCTTTGTGCAGTCTCTTTGCCTTGTGTTGCTGCTGGCTTTGTGAAGTATGCTTCTGAGCCTACATCAAAACACAGACACAAACATATATCTATATATATGGACATCATGAAATGATCTAGTATTTGTTACACCTAATGTTTAATTAGGTGTATTATCCATGAGAGCTATATATGTAATTATTATTTGTGTGCCAACTTCATAGGTGTGTGTATATCTATCTATCTCTATATATATAGATTGTATCTTTCCAGTAAATAGAACCACCTGCAGTATGTGAGAGATCAAACTATATATTTTCATAAACAAATTCATCATTACTTACACATATTTTTCATTTTACAAACCAAGAATGTCTAAAACATGAACAAACCATGGCATATATAGAATTCATTCAAAGGTAATTACAGAAATCAATCCCAGAAAGAAAAATCAAGTTCTAATTTGCATTACAAGCCAAGGCATAAAACTCGTCGAATCAATCCTTCCAACAACAGAGTATTTGTATTTGACATGAAGGAGACGACAACCAAAACACTAAATCCTATGCTCCCTCGATGCCCACTCAGATTCATACCTCCCAAACGAATAGGCCATGGTAGGAACCTCTGTGAGATGCAAAGGATCGGGCTCAATGCCATAATCTGTCAGAGGTCTGTGCTCCAGGATATCATCGTGCTGCTGAACAAATTCGGGTATCTCAACTTGGCCCTTCTTTATGTCGTGCCAGAGGTATTGAAGGCGGCTTATGTATTTGATTTTCCAGTATAAGCTGTTTATTATCCATACAAGAAAAAAAAAAAACAAAAAAAACAAACACAGTATTAGCAAAACCAACAACAACAAAAAGCCATCGCTCAATGCTCATAACTTCTGAGAAAGTTTCAAACCTCTGAGGTAAGAGTTAATGTTGATATTATCATATTAACAAAACCACCAACAACAGCAGCATGATTCAATACATGCTATTTAACATATCCCTTAAGTGGCCACATGCAGAAATATACTATAGATTAGAAGATTCGCATTGAAAACTATAGATGATTCAGTAGGTTTGGATGGAATGAACTAATAAGAGATCATAACTCTAGAAAAAGGGTTCCTCCAAGAAGAAATGGTCACGACTCATGAGTTAAACAAGAAAATGCATGCATCTAAATCATAATTGTGAGTATTCTTCAGAAAACATACAAATAGGAAGGTAGTTCCCAAAAGAGACCACAAACAACTCACCCTCCACTTAAAAGGAACCTTCCAAAAGTGGCAAAGACAAGTCTGGACCAGAGTCCGGGATGAACAAAATACACAACCTGAAGCCTCTCTTTGTGCTCATCAGGTAGTTCTTCATAAATCCACCTTAGGATTGTAATCCCCGGAGAATTATCCTCCTTTTGTACGGTGCTATGCATATACACAATACAGTATGGCCCTTCTGGCATCTCAGTCAAAATCTTATGGAACACATACTGTTTCAGCCTTTCTGCTGTGATTACAGGAGCTGGAATTGTTGAAAGTATCATAACATCACATAAGTAAAGAGTAAAAACTGATATATAGAAAATGCCTAAAAAGAACATTAGGTACACAAACAGCATAACGCTTCTTCCATATTTTCAGCATTAAAACTTTGGGACAATTTCCCCAGTGCTATATATGCTTCATGGATGACAGAAGAATTGAAGATATCATCGTCTACAATTGATTTACTCAATCTGTAGGAAATCAATCAGCTGATTTTCATGTCTAGATTTGTCCTCTGTACACTATATATCAAAACAAACCAGTGACCTTAAGCACAACTTCAAACTTCTATTTGCTATAAAAGAACAGACAAGATTTCCTACAAGAACAACCTAACATCCATCAGAAAGCAAAATAGACACAACATAAAACATAGTTTGCCCAAACTCCAGGCCAATTTCGAAAACCTAAATTGCAGAGCAGAAAATCGGACACCACGATAAGCAGAAATGAATGAATTCCAAGAAGCAGAGTACTGTTAAGTGAGAATTACCAGGGAAATACTTTCCGACTACGCGGAAAATACGGTTCCCGGACTTATCAGAACCTCCTTCACGACGGAAGAAGTTGAGCGCGTCAAGTTCTGCGTAATCAAGGCTATGATCACCGGCAGAGGGAAGAGACGAAAAACAGTCATGCCAATCCTCTTCTTCCGGCTGCCGCTCCGATTGAAACTTCCGGCTGTCGATGCCCAAATCCGACCCCGAAACCACCACAGAGAAGTCTTCCGACAAAGGACTCGCCATTACTTATCTCAGTAGGCTTTCATCTTTGGCTTCATAATTCATGATATAACACTAATTATTAAAAATAAAATAAAATAAAATAAACGTGATATAGATATTCGAAAAACAAATAAGAATATAATTAAAAAAAAAAAAAAAGAAATACTCAATTCGATCTCATTATAAAAGATGTCACCATTTTGATCAGGGAAAAAATCAATTTTGGTCTCAATATAATCAAAATTAATTAATTTTGGTCCTAATAAAAAAAATTCATCAATTTTGGTCCCAATATAAAATATTCATCCATTTTGGTCACAATATAAAAAATTCATCAATTTTGGTCTTAATATAAACAATTTAAATCAATTTTGGTCTCATTATAAACAATTTTTATCAATTTTGGTCCCACCGTTAAAAAATAAAAGAAATTGCTGACGTGAACATGACGAAGGTGACATGGCTGTTGACTTGAAAAGTACACGGCCATGTACAATTACACGTGGCCATGTTGTTATATGGTCATGTATATTTCAATATATAATTGTACACGGTCATGTTGTTACATGACCATGTATATTTCAGTGTATAATTATACATGACCATGTTGTTACACGGCCATGTATAATTCTACACGGCCATGTATCTTTCTGTTTCGGTTTAAAATTTTAATTTTTTGTTATATTTTAAATTTTTTTTTTTGAATTTAGAATAGTTGATATAGTTAAAATGAAAATAATAATAATAATAATCATAATATAATTAAAATATATCGTTCAAATATAAGTATTTATCGAGTATGTTCTTTTGGAAGATTTTGTCTAAAATTCTACTATTTAGCAAAAAAATTCTCTTAGTATAATTTTAGACAAAATCTTCCAAAAGAACATACTCGATAAATACTTATATTTGAACTAAAATTGATATATTTTAATTATATTATTATTATTATTATTTTTTTCCATTTTAACTATATCAACTATTCTAAATTAAAAAAAAATTAAAAATATAACAAAAAATTAAAATTTTAGACCGAAACATAAAGATACACGGCCATGTAGAATTATACATGGCCGTGTAATAACATAGTCATGTATAATTATACACGGAAATATACATGGTCATGTAAGAACATGGCCGTGTATAATTGTAGATGACCGTGTAACATGGCAATGTATAATTATACACTGAAATATACATGGTCATGTAACAACATGGCCGTGTATAATTGTACATGGCCATGTACTTTCCAGATCAACTGCCACGTCACCTCCGTCATGTCCACGTCAGCAATTTCCATTAGTTTTTTAACGGTGGGACCAAAATTGATAAAAAATTTTTATAATTGGACCAAAATTGATTGAAATTGTTTATATTGGGACCAAAATTGATGAGGCTTTTTATATTGGGACCAAAATTGATAAAAATTTTTTATAATGGGACCAAAATTGATTGAAATTGTTTATATTGGGACCAAAATTGATGAGACTTTTTATATTGGGACCAAAATTGATAAATTTTAGTTATATTGGGATCAAAATTGATGAATTTTTTATATTGAGACCAAAATTGATTAATTTTGATTATTTTGGGACCAAAATTGATTTTTTTTTCTATAACATAATAGTCGCTCTGTTCCCACTTAATTTGTCTTATATTTTTTTTTTTGTCTGTCTCACATAATTTATCATTTTTCTTTTAAAATATAACGATAAATTTAATCATATTTTAAAATTTATTATTTATAATTTTTTTTTCTTTTAATTAAACTAAATTAGTCATCTTAATCTTAATTTATAATTATTTTGTTAAATCATGCTCCATTCAGCTAGGAAGTATAAATATTTATATTTTGAAACGTGTAATTATAAAGTAATCATTTTATTAAATAACTCACTTTTTTCTACAAATACCTTTACTTTACTTTACATCATTATTTTTATACAGAAAAATTAAGAGCAAAAATGTTATTAAACTACTTTTAATTACCCACTATAATTAAAATAATATTAGTATTTCTTAAACAACACGGTAAAAATAAATATTTACTTTCTATATGGACAGAGAGAGTATTATTTTCAATAATACACTTCTTAATTACTTATTAATTACACAATACTTAAAACTCCGTGCATAAGCTAAATAACATAATTTAGCTAGGACGGAGGGAGTAATAATAATACTAATAGTTTTGATCCTATAATAAAAAACACTAATAAAATTTTGATTGTATTATAAAAAAATTTAATCGTTTCGATTTCATTTTAAATAAACTAATAGTAACAATGTTAACATATGCTTCAAATTTTATTTACCACACAGTTTATTTGGTGTGGCTTATCTTGTAAATTTCATTTGCAAATTATTAGATTTGGTCGAACGTTTAAGCCTTTATCCACACTTATTGCAAAACACCTATGGATTCTCACGTTATCAAATATATATATATGATGTTAGAATCATTGCTTAATTGAATAAAAGATTTCAGGACAATAGATTTCAGCACAATAGTCTTGCTGTAATTGGGGAACAAAAGTTCAACTCTGTAGTTATTTCATTGTCCTAAATAAAGATGAAACAAGTGATTATATATATATATATATATATAAAGAAGTAAAATTAAGAAGAAAGTGGAATGAATTAATAAATAAAAATGTGGATTATATTAAGGGTAATGTTAAACAGATATGTTGAAAGACTTTGATAATAAGGTGAAGATAGTAAGGTGAGTTAAGTGACAACTAAGAAGAAAGAATTTCTTCCAACAGCTGTGAGGACGACTCATAATCATCATATTCTTCTTCGGTCTTCTTTTTAATGGGAGTGGAAGGGTAAATTAGAGAATTTGAGTAGTTTAAAAGAAGCAACAGCAAGTCTATTTGCTTATTTCATGGTGTATTTCACTTTCCGTTAACTTTTGCCATTTGGGGATTAGGCGCAACGTTTTTCAAAACACAGGTAAGAATCGCGTAGTTTTTAAAGTACAGGGGAAAACGACGCGGAATTTTCCATCCCAACCACAGGGATATATGCAGTTTTGCCGGAGAGGCTGAGATCGAGAGCAAAAACCGGTCCAGCAATTCCGGTGAGTTTCCGGTGAGGTTCGGGAACATTTTCTTGTGCCGATTCCCGTGGGCGTCGAGGCTTGAGTGACGAGCCGATCTCCAATCTTGAGGCGTGATTACCTCGGGCCACTTTGCACCATGGACTGAGCCAATATCCGCCGTCCCTTCCCGCCGGTGAAAGATCGGAGAAGTTATAGACTCCGGAGTTCTCTGCGGGTCTGTCGTCTCTCCGCCGGAGAAGAAAAGAGGAGATCGTCGGAAACTGTTAAAGCTGTTCAAGAGTGTCGCAGGAGCAGCGACTGTTCGTCTCCAAAACCCGCCGCTGTCCCGCCGCCTCTGTCACCGGATCTGCTGGTCGCTGTTGCCTGAGAGGATGACCGGTGAAGTCCCGCGCAAGACAGCCGCCGCTGCTGGAAGCCGTGTCATCGTCGACGGTGGCTTCAGTTTCATGTCGCGGTTGAATTTTGGATGAAGACGAACAGGAAGTTTCCTTCCATTCAATTTCAATACTCAATTCAATTCTATTAAGGCGTGTTTGATTGGGTTTTGTTTTTCCAGAAATGTTTTTAGCCTTTTATTAATATGTTTAATTTCATTTTGATTTCGGTTTTATTTTAATTTGAGTTTATTCAAATTTCACTTCCGCTATTACTAATTGATTTCGTATTTTTGTATACGAGATTTGTTCGATAAATCCAAAAGGATCCGGGAATAAATCCACAAGAGACGTATTTAAAATAATAAAAGTCATTATCATTATTTTGGTCACAAAATTCAAAATGAATTAATTTATTTACTGGCTCATAGCGTTAGAAGTTTAATTATAAAAATTATAAACGAGTCAAAATTTTAGATTGTACCACGAGTCTTATATACTGTGTTACGATCACTCAACAGAAAGCATATGCAGCCCGCCCACTTGTTCGTTGTATAGATATGTCAAGTAGTATAATTAAAATCGAAAAATATTTTTTACAATTTTTACAAGTAGAAGATACAAATGATTTAAGACTTTTTAATGAATTAAAAAATACATTTGAATACCTTGATCTTAATATTGATAATATAAGGGGTCAGAGTTATGATAATTGATCTAATATGAAAGGTAAACACCAATGAGTTCACAAAATATTACTTGATATAAATTCCAAAGTATTATATATGTATGTGTTTGTCACAGTCTTAATCTTACATTTTGTGGTATGACATATTCTTGTATAAAAGCAGTATCATTTTTTAGAATTTTGCAATGTATATATACATTATTTTCGAGCTCGACAAAAATATGGAAATTTTTGCTCGATAATATTTCAAATTTTACTTTAAAATCTTTATTAAACACTCATTGGGAAAGTATAATTAAAAGTATTAAAGATATTATATTTCAAACCCTTCAAATTAGATTAGCTTTGTTAGATTTAATTAATTTATGTGATAGGTGCTAAATCAAAAAGTGAAGTTGAAAGTTTGATTGGTTCACTTGAATCCTATGAATTTTTACTTTGTATGATATTTTATTTGTTATTAATAGTGTGAGTAAAAGATTACAATCTGAATTTGTGAGTATTGATACGGCTATGAAACAAATAGAAGATACTTTATTATTTTTTGAAAAATATAGAACTGAAGGATTTTGTAATAGTATTCATGTTGCAAACGAAATTTCTTTAATTATGAATATCAAATGCGTATTTCCAATTAAACAACGTATTTTTAGAAAAAAAAAAATGATAGTTATCAAAATGAACAAGTACAATCAGAAGAAGAAAATTTTAAAATTAATTATTTTTTTAGTTGTAGTAGATATGACCATTAATTTATTAAATGATAGATATATGCAATTGAATATGTTTAATAGCATATATGATTTTTTTATTTAATTAACAAAAATTAAAATCATTAGACAATAAAGAGTTAAAAGAATGTTACACTGTTTTATCAACTGGTTTTTCTCGTAACAATATTTCTGATATTGACCTAAAAGAAATTATTGCTG